AACATGGCCACCAACGCTTGGTCATCCGCCCCGTGCACGTCTCTTGCTTCCTTCTCCCACCGGGTTATGAAGTCGCGGATCTTCTCTCCTTTGCGGATGCAAATGTTGAGCAGGTGGGAGTAAGGTAGCCTCTGCCTCCGGTTGGCTGCGAAATGCGTCAAGAACTTCTCCGCTAGCGTATCCCAATCGTCAATAGTTCCCTTCGGGAGCCGGTTGAACCAATCGCACGCGGAGCCCTCCAGCGTCGCGAGAAAGCATCGGCACTTGACCTCGTCCGGGGCTGCCGCCGCTTCCATAGAAGCATAGAACTTAGACAAATGATCTTGGGGGTCCGTCGTTCCGTTGTAGGCCTTGATCTGCCACGGCCGGAAGTTTGCCGGAAGCGGAACCGACATAACCCTCGGAGTGAAAGGGGTTACCGTCCGCAAGATGGGCTGGCTGTAGGGAGCCCTGGTCTCCACTCGGCGCTTGAGCTCGGCAATCTCACGAGCGAGCCGAGATACCCCTTGGTCAGAGGCCCTTGTCTTCTCAGTTCTTGTTGGACTATGGCGACGCTGGGTGCGCTCGTCCCGTCTTTATCCGCTCCGCTCGGGCCTGGCCGAGCGTGCATCCGAGGTCGCGGACTCCTCAGCATGTCTCCGCCTACCTTCGGTTATTTGTCGGCGGAGGTCGCCCGGGTGACCTCCCGGTCCGTGGTCGAGCCTGTCGAAGGCCGACACCCGGGTCTCTTCACCTCCTAAGCGCTTGAAGGCCGACACCCGGCACTCGCTGGACTCATCATCTTCTCCTTCGGGGATGTCCTCCACTATCACCTCCTCAAACACCGGGGCTTTTCCGGGCCTCCTTTTGCTCCTACGGGTCTTCTTCCCCTTGTGTTGGGAAGTGGCAGCGTGTTCGGCATGGAGACCGGGCGGAGCTTTGCCACCTCCGGCGCCGGGCACGTTCCCACCCATAGCGGAAAGTGCCGCAACGGCTGCCTGGAGCTGCTCCGCGGTCACCCCCAAGCCGAACTGCGCTTGGACCGCGTCTGGAGTCGAGCCGATACCTCCCGTGCCGTTGCCGCTGCCCGGCGCGTTCTCCTCGCCAACGACGTGGCTGGTGGTGGGGACGTTGCTCCTTGTTTGCACCATTCTCGCGTTCGGGAGTTAACCTACGAGTATGTTCCTCTCCTCTCAATGAGAGCACCAATTTGATGGCTATAAACCACCGAGAGTATGAAATAATATAAAGTTTTAGAGAGAGAGAGAGAGAGTGTGCGCAAAGTAGGAGTATATTGAATTCAAAATTCGGTCCATTACAATGAGGGGTGCCACCCCTTTTATAGGGGGTAAAATACACTAAGTCAAAGCCCTCTGATCGAGGCCTGTCGTTTAGCGGACGTCACCTGTCCTTAGGTCTAGTCTCTTTCATCCTATCGCTTTCACCAAGTCTTCGTTGAACGTTGTTTTCCGCCCGTCTTGTCCCTTTCATCCTATCGCTTTCCTCGAGTCTCCGTTGAACGTCACTTTCCGCATGTCATTGTCGTGGGGCTCGGGCTCGGCTTGGTCGGCCGAGCAGGGAGGACGAGTAGAGCGCAGAGCCGGGCAGGAATGACGAGCGGAGCGCAGAGCCGGGCAGGAATGACGAGCGGAGCGCAGAGCCGGGCAGGAAGGACGAGCAGAGCCCCCCAAGCCCGGTCCTTTGGAAATTTATGCTGATGTCAGCCCTAGGCTGGTGTGGGGTTATTCCCCATCAGGGGGTGTTTGTTTTTTGGTGAGAAGAGCTTCTGACCACTTATGTCTGTGCCGTGCAGACGCGGGCAGACATTAGGGACGCGCAAACTGTTTGTTTTTAGAAGACAAATCACTTAAAAACGTCTTCCAAACATCTTCCTGAAGCAGACATAAACTTTAGCTTCTCCCGTCTTCTCATTCTTCCGATTTCTCCCTTCTCGATTAAACTTATCCGACTTCTCACCCGCCCCGATCTCAAAACCTAACCCCTGCCGGCGACTTCTCTCTCCCTCCGCCGGCGACTTCTCTCTCCCTCCTCGTCCGTCGTCCATCTTCCTCCTCCTCATACCTCCAGCGACGCATCCTCAACCGGATTTCTCTTGCTCCAGAGGTCTTTGTTTTGCAGCTTCAGTATTTCCAGTTTTTTTGTTGTTCGGGTTTAATTCTTGGCATTGGGCTATCGGTATTTCCATTTTTCTTTTCGTTTTCCACCTCCAAGTTACTTCAATTTTGAAACTTTTCTTCTTTTCTTCTTTTGAAGTACACGGTACTGGAGCGGATCGTGAATATATGATTAAGTTACGAGATGAAATTACCGAGCACTTAATGCAAAGTGCGGAATAAATTATTTGAAATATTGTTATTATTTTTATTTTAAAAAATTCTATTGTTGTTATTTCAGTGTTGTAGAACTCTTATTTAAATTTAAATGTTTAAAAATATTGATTGCTTTAAAAATCTGTTTAATTTAAATTTCAGTTTATTTAAACAATCTGCAGAAGTTAAAAAACAAACAGTCTTCCTCTTGCAGACTGCAGACCTTTGGTCCACCCCTTCTCTTGCACTCTATTAACCTTATTGCACTCTATTATTCAAACTTATACCGAAATATCTCTCTCTCTCAACTGGTTTCAATTGTATGCTGCAGCCTGCATGCATCTACCGATCATTTTCTTTTTATGTGTTGAAAACATATCCCACCAGATTTATCTTCGAGTCAAGCTTTGATCTGAAGACCAGGCCGCTGAAATAAAGGGAGAAACTTTTGAAGGAAAAGTCCGAAGGGACCCGGGAAGAGCTCCGGATAAGGCGTCGCCGAAGGGGATGGCGTCCACGTCAGCAGCGCCGTCCAATCCGGATCGTACACGCCCGTCTTCTTCTCCTCCTCCTGTACATTCATTTGCCGATCGGCTTCACTCCGATCACAGTCTCAGATTCGGGTCCTTGAACATGGATGAGATCATCAAGAGCATTTATGCGGATTCCAATGCGCTCGCCGATAGCTGCTGCTCCTCCTCCGGCGGGAGCAAGATGGTGGACGATGTTTGGAGGGAGATTGTGAACGGAGGCGGGGGAGCGGGGAGTGGGGACCCAGAGATGACGCTGGAGGATTTCTTAACAAAGGCAGGCGCGGTTAGGGAGGAGGATGTTAGGGTTTCGCCTATTCCTCCGCCGCCTGCCCCTGCTGCAGATGTTAGTGGTGGATTTAAAGTGGATTCGCTGGTGAATGTGGAGAATTGTCAGTTTCCCGTGGTCATGCAGAATGGACCTGGTGGGTTTGGGTTGGAGTCGCTGCATTTGGGGTTTGGGAATGGCGTGGTGGCTATGGGAGGGAACGGAGGCGCCAGAGGGAAGAGGAGGGCAATGGCGGAGGAGATTCCTCTTGATAAGGCCACTCAACAGAAGCAGAGGAGAATGATCAAGAATAGAGAGTCTGCAGCTAGGTCTAGGGAAAGAAAACAGGTTCAGAATCAAATGCTATTGAGTTTAAGTCCTCTTCAGCCACTTCAATGTAGTGAAGGATCGATTTTTTTTGTTGTTCTGGAAGGATTTTGACTAGTGCGTTTTCCGTCAATTCAAATTGCAGGCTTACACTGTGGAATTAGAGGCTCTGGTCGCACAATTGGAGGAGGATAATGCAAGACTTTTGATAGAAGTGGTACTTTTCTCCCCACATTTTTCTAAGTCACTTCAGTTCTCACACTTTGGTGTGCAATGTGCTTGCCTGTTGTGCTACTATGGTAAAATTTGTATTTGGCTATGACCATGAAACGTTTCGAGACGAGTGGACAAGTTCAGGAAATGCTATGGATATTGAAAAAGTTCCCTTTAGGTGAGATTTAGGTGAGGGTGCATTGCTAGTGCTACACTGCCACCCACTCTTAATATTCAAGTGTGATTCTGGCATCCCCACAACATTTTCCCAAGTCTTTTCCACCCATTAGTTTTACTTGTAAAACTTTGTTTTCCCCGTCTCTCATATCTTTTACATTGGGTTTCCTAGTCTATTTCATTGATTTGTAGTGTCACTGTTTGACATCCACTTTTTTGAATGTTGATTTTCTTACTATGGAGTACTTTTTCTTTGAACAAAAATACAAGGTCTTCTTACTACTTGGAAATTGGGCATTTCAAATGACATTATTTAAAGTAAATTATTCAAATGAGGTCCAATTCCAATAAGAATAAAAGTCGGTTTTCAGAGGATTCACATATATGTTTACTTGTATAAAATGGGCGTAGAGTGAATTTTGTATTCTACCAGGTGTGAAAGCATATTTCTCTACCAGATAATTTGCACAAGGAAAATTAAAGGAATTTTGTACTCTTTTCGCAAGCAAAATCCTTAGAGTGTTTCTAACACAATGTTAGTGTATTGCTTAATTGAGGCTGTTTGGTGTCATTGCGTTAGCCTCATTGCACAATGAAGTGTAAGCCTTACTTTTAAAGATCTGATTCATTTAAGATAACTACAAATAATATAAAAACCATTAGAATAATATAATGTAAAATAAGTTTATATTCATATCCAAGAACACAACAATGTCAACAAGATCATAAAACCAACAACAAACAATGCCAAGCTGGCCCTGTCCTACTTACTGTTGACATTGGTGAACCTTGGCAAAGATTATACTCTGTACTTCGTATATTGCAGTATAAATGCTACATGTGACAATTTTTTTGTCCCGAGCAATTCAAGTAGAACAAGAAGAATTTGTCACGTGTAGCATTTAATTAAAAAAATGGGCCCATAGCCTAGGTCAATCACAAAAATTTAACCACGAACCTTCCAATATATTAAGGTGTAGGAGTTGATACAAATGCCTCAACCTCAAACGGCATAAGCCTCAAGTCTCATTATTGCCTTGCCTAAAAATTGCTTTAAAAGATGCTCGATGGAGTAAAAAATTAAAGGAATTTTACATAAAGGTTGGCAAAATGGAAGTTTGCTAGCTCTACTCAATAATCAACAAAGTCTAACGGATCAGACAATGTTTGATTTAGTGAAACCTTTCCATTTTACCAAATTGGGTTAGGGAAACCTTTTCAGATTTGTCAAAAAAAAGAGAGTAGATTTAAACATTTCAGTTTTGTGAATTTTGTCACAACGGCAAAGTTGTGCTCCTTACCCATTTATTGCTTGCTTTCTTAGGTTGCTAAATTGGTTTTAGTTAAATGTGCATATGGCCGTTGAAACCACTTCAAGCAGCGTAGTGCAGAGGCCCTAGTGTAGTGATGCGTGAGGCTTATGGTAGTTGGCGGTGATGGAGGAAGAGGTAGACCTTTGAAAAATTGGAAGGTGGTAATTAGGCATGACTTGAGACTCCTGGCCTTTACCTAGGATATGACTTTAGATATGACAATATGAGCATCTAGAGAACTAGGACGAGAGTAGTTGGGTAGTCGTTTAGGCTTTGGTGGTAGCTGTTGCTCGTCTTTGTGTTTTTTATGCTTGGGGTCTAGCTGCTAGAGGTGATTTGTGGTTTGTGTGCCCTTTGTCCCTTTGTACTTTGCTACTTTCTGGTCATGCTATATGGATTTTGTGCTGGTTTACATTGTTTGTGATGGAGCCGAGGGTCTCTTGAAAATAGGCTTCCTGCTCTCAAGTAGGGAAAGGTCTATGTACACACACCCTCTCAGACCTTACTTTTGTGGGGTTTTACTGGTTTGTTGTTGTTGTTGTTGTTGTTGAGGAGTTATGAGCTCCAATTGAAATTTGTTTTCTTCAATTTATTGGGTCATTCAGTACATTAACTATCATGTTTAGTATGGTTAATGAACGGAGATTTATCTCCATATAATAGTGAGTTTCCCACATGTTTGAAAAGATACATGGTTTCCCAACCCTGTAAAGTTTCCTACGTTTCTCCTTTGTGTTATTGTTCTTGTGCCCTTTGTTCTCCTTTGTAGATAACAAAGTTCACATTTCTTTTCTTCTCTTTTTATTGACATTTTGCTTTGTAAAGGCTCATTGGCGTGTAAATTGGTGTGCTCAATATATCCCCAAATCTCATGTATCCTGGGAAACACACCAACCTAGTTTTTTTTAACATTTGAATAGTGTTTTAAGGGAAGTGTTACCACATGTCTTAGAAAGTCAGATGTTTACGTCATTGTATATACTCAGTTCAAGTTTTTTCTTAATGTTGAGTTCTGATTTTCACAACAACAACAACAACAACATTACCCCAGTGCCTCAAAGGCTCCCGCCATTGCGGGGTAAGGTGGGTCGGATGTATGCGACCCTTATGTTAAAACTTAGGGGACCCTTATATTCTGGGTCGCATGATGAGTGTCGAAAGTTGCATTGATGAGTGTCAAATTACTCTACTTTTAAAAGAACAGATAGTTATAGAGCCATTTTGCTTTATTTCATCTTACTGCAAAGCCAAATAATATTGGATATTTGGCTCTATCGGAGAAGATGGAAGGAGCAAAAGAAAAAGAGCAGAAGAATATTTGAGTTCTGACTTCTGATTTTCACTAAGGATTTTTTTTCCAATACAGGCAGAGCGGAAGAAAAAGAGGCTTATGCAGGTACAATATGGCTCTACATTATTATACATGGATACTTCTATTGCTTGTTGTATCTGTTGCCATATTGGAAACACAGATTCTTTTAAATGAATAAAAAAGACTAAATTGATTTTCAATAAGTCCTATCATAAGCACAAACTAACTTTGCATTATTATTTTCAACTAATTATATCTTGTGACTGTTTCAGTTGTATTCATGTTCTGCAATCTCTTATTGCCTCTTAACTTTTATGATGGCTGTTTATGCAAATTGAAATTTTGTGCATGTCAAATTGGTCAACTCAGTGGTCTCTGTCTTTTGTGTAAGGAATGTACTCTTAGACTCTCCATTCATATCATAGGTAACTCTGGCCTAGGGGCATGAGTTAGACAGATTGGTCTTTGCCTCCTTGGTCTAGAGTTTTTTTTGGGCGAGATAAATAGAGAACATAGAAGTATGGAAGAGAAAAAGAGAGCGAGGGGACATATTTTGGTTGTTTGGTTAGGAGGGAAAGTGGAGAGACAGATTGAAGAAAAGTGTGGAACCATTGTATTTGTTTTCTCTCCTATGGTACTGTGAATAAAGTGAGACAAAAATGGCCCATTTTTTGTTCCCTTTTGTAGAATGACTCTTCTTGGGTATCGTTTTTAAATGTAAAGGTCTTTTGCTTCTTTTTCTCTTTTATATTTGTCATAACAACAATGCACAAAATCCACTCTTTTTTGCACCTATTTGTTCTGTTGTCTTTTCTCGCTACTCTATTTCTCTTCTCAACAAAAAATGTAGGCGCTGGTTTTAAGATGAGCTAGCCTTGTTTTTTGTGTCCATTTATATATTGTTATGTATTTGAGTGAAAATGATTGCAGAAGGAAAATTAAGACTAGATCGGGCTCATATGTCGATTGTTTGATATATAAGAGTAGAACTGGCCAGCTGGGCAATTAATTTTAAAACTCTATATTTTAATTATAAAGGAGCATGCCTTAGAGATACATCTTCTGGTCCTATTTATCTGTCTTGGTTGATCAAATGACACTTTAAGCAATTGTATCGTAACCAAACCTTTTAATACTTTACCTGAAATTCACTTATTAAATGACACCATAACATTTGTTATACTCCAGACTCCAGAGAAAATGGTAAATTGTTTAATATAAGGACAAAATAATTTAATGTGCATAGATATCATGAGCGAAAAAAGAACATGGCAAATTTGTCAGGTTACAAATAAATGGGAAAGGAGGACATATTTGCCAAGGAGCTCATTCCACATCCCACTCAAATCTCCTGCGACTCGGCGAGTGGTAGTCTTCAAATGTCTCTTCCTTCCACTGAACAATGGTGGGAGGTCATTAAGTGTGGTAGATGTGATATGGATCTAAGATTAATATTTAATTAGTTATTATTAGTATTCAGAAATGTTAAGTATTGTAAGAAGTACTCCTTTCGTCCCACTATTTTTGAGACACGAGGGAGTGAGACAAGAATTAAGAAAAGTAAGATTGTATGGTTAATATTGATGTTAAAAAGTAAGAAAAGTAAGAGTGAATGTGAACTACACGTATATGACCAGATATGGTATGCGGCAAATTAGTGGGACATAAAAAAATGGTAAAAAAGAACAAACATAATGGGAGGTAGTTATGTAGACATGTAGTAATAGTTTCCTATTAGCATTCTATTTTAGTTAATTTTTTTGATAGCATCATTGTATCAGGTTAGAAATCTATTTACTTGTTCACTGAGACTCTTGCAAGTAGTATAAATAGAGGGGTTACATTCGTTAATAAGATCATCATTGTAGCAATTACACATTTTTTCCTACTTAGTCACAGACTATAGGATCTGAATCATCCTCTTCTAGCCACGAGCAAGAGAGGGGTCTCCAGATATTTGCTTCGGATCTCTAACACGTTGCATTCCTTGAAGTACGTTGGTTGTTGTAGTTGTCATTGTCATCGAATATTGGTTTTAACTTTGGAGAACTGTTCCGTATTTTGAAAATTAGAAATGGCATTTCCTAGCTATAGGGAATACAATAATGCTGGTAAAGCTTGTGAAGTAAGCATGTTTTATGTTTTCTAAATTTGGAAATAGAAAAAATAAGCACATCTTATTTTTTGTTTTAGAAATATGCACTACGCACAATTTTCAAGTCAGTGACCGAATTCTGGTTTGTGGTCTGAAAAAGTTGTCAATAAGCATGTGTTAATGGACTGTTAGATGCTGTGATAGAGCCTATATGCTATAAGCCTGTTGGGCAGAAGGGTTGAGCTTACTTGGCCTTAATTATTCAATATTCAATATGCAATTAACATTATATTAAGCAGTAAGCAGTAAACAATAGTCAATAAGTATCAACTTGATGCTTGTTCGAATTGGCGATTGTAGAAACAATGATCATCAAATAATCAGAAGCTGGGTTGCCAGACATACAAAATAACAGTGGGAGGTTTGGGTATTCACTAAGCAGTTCCCGATCACAATGCCAAATAAGGGCCATCTTTTAGCTGGTTATAACCTTCCGGCAACTAACTTCAACTCGTTTTTCTTTAGTTCGTGATCCCATTATTTGGATCATGTATTAGAGTCCATTGCCTATGGAGCTAAAAGAATCTGTGTTGGCAATGTGCTAGCTTTGACAAATAATGGAATAAATCAAAATGGTCAAGAAACTTCGGATCCCTTGCTTCTTAATTTTATGAAGTTTTTGGTAGTAAATGCATCAAAGGTCTAATGGAAACCTCTATGTTTATTACAGGAGTAAGACTGCGTATATTAGGTTGTTGTCTTATTTGAGTCATGTATTAGTTTTTCAATAAAGGGAAAACCCATAATTGTTTGTGTGAGGCCTAGGCTCTGTTTGCTTGCCATAATCAGTTTACTTTACAGTAGAATAAGCCAAGTAAAGGGGTGTTTGGTAAATGTCACTTGGCTTAAGCAGTTGTATCCACTACTGGGTAATTTTTTTAAAGGAAAAACCTTTGGTAATAACGATGTAAGCTAAATAAGTAAAAAACTATGAATGCTTCTATTCTAAAATGTTCTGCTGATAAGGTTAATTTGGTTATTTGGTTAAACTGGATGATACCAAACATGTTCTCTTTTAGAAAATCTTGCAAGATTCAGTCGTTTCAAACAAATTAACCTTTCAAAAACTGCTCCCTAGTTGCTCAGCTCAGACTCTTTGAGTGTGATCTAGATCTCTTTCCTTTTGACTTAGCAGGCTTCGTTTTATCTGCCAGCTATTCTCTAATATATTTTTTAAAAAATGTAAATGCAGCTAATGGAGAATCTGATTCCAGTTGAAGAGAAGTGTAGACCACCACGACATCTTCGGAGAGTCCGTTCCACAACCTGGTAGTAAAACTTCATATCACAAGCAGTAACAGCACGAGAGAGAAAGAGAGATAGAGACTGGTTGGGTTAATGTCCTTAATGACTACTTGTGTGGGCACAAATTCAAGAACAGGTATCGGCTCTACGGCTCAATCTTTCTGCATAAACGGTTAGGGCACAAACCCGATGTTTTAGACTATCTATATATCGTTAGAACATATGAAGATTAACACGAATGTCAGTAGAGTGACTAGTTTGTCTGCAGAAGAGCTTCCACACCACTGGGATGGCAGGGAAGAATGGTTGGTGATCTTGGCCCCCCTACATAAATTATTACTCTTTTTTTTGTGAATTTGTGAATGTGCTGTGTAGAGACTGAATTAAAACCCATATTTTTGGGTTGCTACACCAAATCAATAATATAAAATCCTTAAGTACACATGTGCAGCTGTATCTGTCTTATTCACTAGGAAATTATTATTATTATTATTAATTATTCATTTATTCTTATTAATACTATTATTGGTTGAGAACATTATTATTATTAGAGGGTTGTATCAGGCGATGGAGACAGCTTGCATGGTTCTGATGAGGCTGCATGCCAAACTCACTCACTCACTCAATCATACAGGTGAACCCAACCCCCTCCTTTCTAACTCCCCTTATTGACATGACTGTGTAACCAACTTTTGGACCATTTCTAAGGTCATATATAAACCACATATGTAAGATAGATTTGCCCTGTTTGGCACCTAGTACTTCTTGTCCTGCATGCCCAAATTATCTTATCCACTACCTTATCTGTTTATACTACTCTTTTTCATTGCTCCCATTCTTACTCAGCACGAAGTTCAAGAAATATAAAATTGTGTTGTTGACATCTAGGGAGACCGTAGAGAAATAGTATTCCTTCCGTCCTAAAATAGTTAAGCCAAGGATCAAAATTTTGGTATTCGTCATCCAAATTGAGGAAAAGTGATTTTTTCTTTGATATAGAGTTGTAAAAATAACCAGGATACGCCCAGAAGTGTACTCTAAATTGTAACCCAAAGAGATGCATAAGCTTTTTTACGATTTATATTGACACAAAATATTAGTTTAATAAAAAAAATTTGCATTGGTATTTCGTGTCATTATAAAGTATCGCATTGGTACAGAATATTTGTGCATATTTTCGGGGTACAAAATGGGTAAAATGTTTTGTGTACAAATATCATTTCCTTAGTAAATATAGCGGGAGGGATGTGTATTAAGCGTATGCATTGGATTTAGTACAAGTACTTTTTATGGTAGAATTATACTAAAAAAATACTGCAATGTCTTTCCATTCATATCATACGGAGAATTTATCTATGTAACCAAATCGCAGGTTTAAAGAAAATGTATTTTAATAACTAATTATAATTTTAATACTACGGTGAAACAAGATTTATTTTGTTGGACGAAAGGAGTACTTAGTTCGCGAAGAAGTTACACACATACTCACAAATGGGCACTCAAAAATCACAACTGCGTCATAAAATACTTTGTTCAAAGAAAGTCTCACATTTTCTTCTTCATGTATTTTTTAAAAATAGGATTGTGTAATTTTTATTATTTCTCTCTTCAATCTCTTTTTGGGTGACGAGTTTCTTGGGAAGACTTTCTTTACATTCCAAGTAGGGGCAATGATAGAGTAGGTGTAGTACACCATCGACCCCTCCGGATGCCACTTGGTGTGATTTTACCGGGTTTGTAATTATCGTTAATCTGTTTTACTTTCAATTACATAATTTTTTTTTTCTATTTAATCATGCTCGATCAATTGTGGAATATTATTTATAACACCAAACACTATTTCTAGTATACATGAATCATTGATTTTGTCATAACAAAGAATAATAATAATAATAATAATAATAATAATAATAATAATAATAGTAATAATAATAATAGTAATAATAATAATAGTAATAATAATAATAATAATAATAATAATAATAATAATAATAATAATAATAATCTAGTAAGGATTTTTGTTAGGCAACTTAATTAATTGCCATCTTTGGTCCAAGAAATGTGTTCATAAGCTTCACATGAATGTAGTTTCCCCAGCCTGTTCTCACATGGCTGGCAATTTCAAGAAAAAAAATAGCAAGAGAACAACAGAGGGCCAACCATATGATGAACAACTTAACCACCACCCACATTCATATACACCCAATCCATCCTTCTTAACTCAATGCCCTCATAAATGCATGATTTAATAAACATCTGCATGTTCTTTTCAGTGCTCTTCAAGGCTCAAGCTAGCTAGGAATTGAAAAAGAGCCCGGGATGGGCGTTCCACCTTTAGGAAAAAAAGCTCATTGTTGTGGCCCGGTTTGGCACAAAGAAGTTATATATTTATGACAGCTGTTTGTGATAGATGTTTGAATTCATTGGTTAAGAAAAAATGGTTTGGTAAGATGTACAATTTTTTGTCAGCTATTTAATGTTGACCTTTTTACGCAAACAGGACTCAAACACATCATTTTATCTTAAATAGAACCAGTCTTATCTACTTTAATGTTTGGCAATGCAAAGTTCTAAAATGCCATGTCTTTGAGAAAAAGGACATACTCCCTCCGTCCCCCAATTTTTGTCCATTTTTGACTTTTGGAACTGTTCATCTAAGCACTTTGACTCATCAAATTCTCTCAATGTGTAAGCCTAAATATAGTCATGTGTGATCTTGTTTGATTTGTATTAACATATAGATTATTAATATATAATTTCAATAATTTTTTAATATACAAATTACAAGATAAAATGGATTAAAGAAGTGCATTGGATGGTGTGTAAAAATGAAAGTGGACAAATACTTTGAGACGGAGGGAGTATTACACAATTCAAGTAGAATAACACATTATTAAAAACAACTTGAATAGTGATTGAAATCATTAGTCATTATCCTACACTTATTGCTAATGACCACATTCGTAAAGTCATTCGTATAATCAATCATTGTCCGGCCCATACTTGTTACCTTGTTACTAATGAGGGCATATATAACAGATCATATAGAACTATGTGTCATAAATGGAATAAAACATACTTGATCCTATTCACAAAAAATGTACTACCTCTTTATCCTATATAAAGCAAATTTTTCTTTAATGTTTTAGGGATTAAAATTTGTAGATGATTTCAAGGAAAAAAGGTGTGTTATGTTTCCTTCACACGAAAAAAAAAACAAATGTGCTATGTTCCTTTTTGTCAGCTTAATGAAAAATGATTGGGTGATATATGCATGAGTGTGTGCTAATTATATTCAACACCTTCACCAAGCAAGCATGTTTTACCATTAATTAATCATTCCTATGAGAATATACATCTTTTCCACTTAAATGTAATAATAAATTTAAAGTGCAAAAATATTTACTCCGTAATAAATAAAGCTGCATGGACCATTATGCAACACAAACTGAAATTTTAATTTACAACACATGCACTTACATACTGACAGAGTATTCCTTTACATTTTAAGATGAAAAAAAAACAATTCTTCACAATATACTTTATTTTATTAATAATAAGAGTAATAATTATAATCATGCAAACAACACAAACAAATGTATCAAATTTTTTGCATTAAATGTTACTTAGGAAATAACGAAGGGAAACATAACCACACAATGTGGACACACCTTTTTCCCCTCCCTTTAGGTGGTTTAATTTGTTTCCTTTTCTTTGTAATTGTGCATAATACATACTGATAATGGAATAGTAAATTTGTGGTAATTTGAACACTTATCAAACAAATCCAACTTATACCAATAAGTTTTCCTCACATTTCTCTTATGAGATTGACTTTTTGAAATGAAATCCAAGTTTTATTAGGTCTTGTTTTCTTGAAATTCGAGACCTTCGACGCGGCAACTTACAATCTTTCTGAACACGTCTCGAATGTCCCGTTCGAGAGGTTTGAGCTCAATTTTACAAACATCTGAGACAGACATTAACTCGTGAATTCTCCCCCTGAGTTCATCCTTGTGTTCTTCAGACAATGGGAGCTGAGCCGACTCGACGAACTCGGTCAAGTGACTCACCCCCTCTTCCATCCGACATATCTCCTTCAACAACCCGTTTGAGCTCCGGCGCCGCCGTTTGGACTCCTCCGTTATCCTGGCCTGTAATGTGTGGAATGGGCTGCTCCAGCTTTGCCGGGGGATGACGATTGCCGTGTGGGTCCCACGGTCCTGGCAGGGGACGGCGGCTACGAGGGCCCACAGGACGAAAACCAGGACGAAGCTCATCGTGTGGAGGAGGGACGCTAGGCCGTCGGTGGCGGCCACATCCGCCGCCCGCGGCGGGGATTGCACGGCGTTGGCGAGTAGCTGGAGCTGTTTAGAGGCGGACCAGGAGTTTGAAACGCTCCACGACAGAGACCTCGTGTGGGCCAGGGGAGGCCGGTTCTGGTCCTTGGACGCGGTGGCGCGTCGTTTGAATGACCGGCTCCGGTTGGAGAACACCCCGCCGCCGGCTGAGTCATCCTTGTGATCCTCGAGTGCCAAGTCCACCAGCGCCTTTCTCGCCCGCCGGAGATTTCCTTCTCCGACGACGGCCGTTCTGCCGCCGCCCAGTGCGCAGATCACGATTTCCAGGTGCCTCTGCCACGCGTTGATCTTCTCCAGCCCGTCCCGGGCGGCGTTCAGCATGTCTAAAGCTTTGATAGTCCTGTCGAAATACTCTGTTAAGATCCTCTGTTTCGACGGCGCAGCCATTGACGCGTTCTTCTTCTTCTTGCTCGACACGATGGATCTGAAATCCTCGTGGCAAGCGGAAAACACGGCGAGCAGTTTCCGGATCCAGGAAATGGACAGGAAGTCTTTGGGCGTGGCGAGGGAGAGGTCGTGGAACAGAGTGGAGACTTGTGACTGGAACGAATCGATCTCCGGGTACGCCGGCACCGGCGGCGACTTGTGGTGGTGCTCCAGTAGCAGCGTGTGGACTGGGTCGCCGCCCCTTAGAGTGATAATCGGCCGGCGAAACGACACAAAACGCATCGGAGAGCCGTGGTTTCCCGTTGGAGAAGTCGGCATTTCCGCCAGCTCCTCCGGTCAATTATTCCGGCACGTCGAATGGTTCAGTGTTTCTTATTTGTCATCAACAATTTGTATATCTAAATCACAACCGACCAAAAGCAAAGTCAGTGTTACAGTTTTGGAGGTTATATAGGGGTTGTATATGGTTGTAAATATTTTTTAACTTATAAGTTCAATTGATGACATGTTTGAGTGTCTTTGTAAGATGACTTATAAACTACTCTATTTATAAGTTTGAAATAAGAGTAGGTCTTAGCTGTTTATTTTAAGTTGATTTTTTCATTTCTTCGTTTTGACCAGATTATCTATAAAACTGTCCTCACCATTTATGAATATTTGCAAATGATTTATCCATCATTTAATTTATTTTAATTCTATGAAACAATATTTGGCTTATAAGCACCGGCACAGAAAAACACCCATATACTCTCTCACTCGCAATAAATTTTTTTTAGGTCTGGTATTTGTCTAGTTTTGCATTGAATTACTCGCTAAAAGTTTTTTTGATCTATATGAATAAAAAACTACGGGTACATGATATGTTATTCCGTAGTTAGATAAAGCAATATGCTAAATACAATTTATGATGAATGAGTGAGTGACAATACATACCTTCAAATTAAAACCAACCTCATCTTATGAGAAATAAGCTTTAAATACTATATATAGAGGATATATAGATGAAAGGAATAGCAATAATAAATAATATTCCCAAGAATCTCCCAAGATTTCTGGACACGATTATGGATGGATGGGTATATATATATATATAAAACTTCATCTGTCCCAATAAATTAAACTTTTCTTTTTTGAAAAAGGCACACCCTTAAATAAGTAATTTTGGTATTATTTTCTAATTTTCTTCTTACTTTATGATAAAGTATGATGAGATGTTTAGAAAATAGATGAGTTTTGATTTAAAAATAACACTAAAATTACTTATTTTTAAAAACATATTTTTTTAATCATGAAGGGTATTATGGGACGGAAGAAGGAGTATATGATTGAATAATGAGTGGCTGTCCATAATTCCATTTGCGTGCAGATGTAGGGTCGATTTTTAACATTTTAAATTTGTTTTTAAATAATTTAGGTAGAATAGTGAAATTTTATCTCAAAATCAATTGAAAATGAAAGAATTAGCTCATTTCCTTATACAGTACTCCTATCTTAGGGGGTGTATTCAATTAGGATTCTGATGGATTTTTTTGGATTTTAAAAATCTGTAGGTATTCTATTCGGATTTTAAAAAGTAATTTAAAATCTGAATGTATTCAATTGAGATTTTAAAAAATTCTTCTAAATATGATAGTATTCAAAAAGTTGGTAGATTTTTAAAGATTTTAAAAAAGGTAGATTTTGATGGATTTTTAAGCATTGGGTATAAATATAAATCCATTCCCAAATCTCACCCAAAAACTAAAAACTAAAGATTTTATAAAATCTTCTGCCGTCTGCTTCTTCTTCGGCCGTCTCTTCTTCTTCCGCCTTCTTCTTCATCGACCTTCTTCTTCTTCCTATCATCATAGAGTTATAAATCTATGAATGCTATGATGAGAGGAACACCAATTGGTGTCGATGGGCAGTGGGTAAAAGTGGGATTTGTCTAAGCAATTCCTTCTCCGTGAGCCTTATTATGAAAACGACTTCTCTTTCCTCTGAGTATTTTTTGCTTGAAGATTTTCACTATTTTTTTATATTTATTTGATTTAGATCTGGTTTCTAAGAAATTTTGGGGTTATAAGAATGAAAATAGCGTCTATTACCAATTCTGGAGGAGATTAAAGATTCCTCACAGGTATAATGGCTTAGACGCTAAAGGGATAATGGAGAGTGGCATATCCTTATCAATAGACTATTTCCTGTGTTGCATCCTGGAAACACCACTTACATTGCTAATCCTACATTATTAATTATTTTCATTATTGTTTGAAGAATAAATTAATGTTTTGTTTAAGATATTGGAGAAGAAAAGAAATTCAAAATCTTGGGTTCGTTTGGTTATCATAATCTTGGATTATATTTTCTAAATTTGAATAGAATGAATGGTATGTTAAATTTATAATATAATTCATATTTATGTGTAAATGATCTATATATTATAAACAATTCGATAGAATCCTATAAAATCCTGCTGATAAAATATATTAAAATCTATCAAAATCTGCATGGACTTAAAACAATCCATAGATTTTGCATAATCTAAAGACTTTAAACAATCTATCGAAATCTTTCATAATCCTGATTGAATACACCCCTCCTTAGTTTCTTTTTTTCTTTTTTTAGTCAAATTAGATAAATTTTGATGTCCCATGTAATAAAAATATGAGTGGTCAAATTATTTGTACTTTGACCGCATATTACGGAATAAATATATTCAATTTTAGTATATATTTAATATTAATAGATTAATTTTGAAACATAGTTTTGAACTTTATATTTATAATATATGATTATATAATGATCAAAATATTATATTAGATATCGCGAAAAATCAAATGAGAAGTTAATTATAGGATGGAGGAAGTAATTTATCATTGACTTTTCTTTTTCATCTGTCTATTTATTTTCTTTCCATTTCCTTTTTGACAGGTTTTTTAAATAAAAAACTAAATTACCCTTTTCATTTACTCATTACTTAATTTGGCTAACTAACTCTTCCCATCAAACCATATATGTCTGTTTGACTGTTTTCGTTTTCATTCATTTCTAAAAGGTTGTTTGGCAGTGTGTTGCTTTTAATTATTTAGCTTCTGCTTTGAGTAGAAGTGATTTTACTCTGTTTGACATGTCAGCTTCTGCTTTTCACCACCACTACTTTGTACATAGAACACTGTTTCGAAGAAGCAGATAGGAGGTGCTTCTGCTTTCAGCTTTTGTAGAAATCATTTTATCCATAAGTTAATCACTCTAAATTAAAGTAACTGTATGCTAACTCCTTGTCCCAAAAAGAACATCACAGTACACAAAATGAAGTGTGATTTCAGTTTTTTCAATTTATTTTTTAAAATATTGATACACAAATAAAAAATATAACTTGCATAATTTTAAAAAACATGCCAAGAGATCTACAAATCAAAAATTGACAAGATTATCTTATTTTATCAAATAATTAATAAAAATATAAAAATAAATATAGGTTATCATGCCAAATACAATGTTCTCAAACGACATGACAATGACTTTTCCTATATGAGAGATCACAGATCTTATCTCTTCAGTGAAGATAATAACTCTTTGTGCTTAATGAGTAAAAAATGCATGAGCAGATACTATATTATATTAGACTTATTATTGTTAAAAAAATCCCTATGAGTTTTGAATGACGGAGCTAATTTCTTGAACAAAGGGTGACATCTCTTTCGTTAGATCTGCAATGGACCCAATCAGTTAACAGTGTCTCGAACTCAGAAGCTCAGTCCGTAGTGGAAAACAACAGAACAATAAAAGACACATAAAAAAGGTTTTTTTTTGTTTGATCTATTATTGATTTATTATTCACAAGCCAATTTGGTGTCAAAGCTACTGAGGCAGATGGCAAAAGCTTGGAACGCAGACAAAGGGTAGCGGTAATCCATGGTGAACACATCCTTCCCAACCTTCCCAAACTGCAGAATGATTTTCTCGCCGCCGTGATCACCGCTCCCCGAGGCGGCGGCGGCAATCAGCTGGAAGTTCTTCACTGACGCCACCGTGACCCTCCCCCTGAAGTTGAGGCACCAGCACTGCAGCTGCTCGTGCCAGCGCGGCGCCTTGTTCTTCAGAACCAAGGGTCTCATCGCCGGATCACTCTCGCCGGAAAACCGCGCGCTGCTGAACTCGGTGGCGGCCGTGGTGGTGGTGGGCCCGGATGACTTGGACCGGAACGAGTCATCCGCGGGCCGCGGGCAGAGCTCCTGCTGACCTGGCGCCGTGCCGCCGGCTCCGAGGGCCGAGGCGGGAATGGACTGCATCACGCACTGCATCCTCCGCGGGCCCCGCGTCCCGAGCACGTTCAGCTCGTAGGCGATCTGGGCTATGTTGTAACTGTTGGTGTCGGTTGGGGTTTTGGGAGAGACTTTCTTGGAGTGGAGCCTGAAACTCGTGCGCCCTGGCGGCGGCGCGGTGGTTGTTGCCCCGGTTTCAGGGGGTTGTGTGTCGTATATTTTGAACTTTGTCCCCATAAAATTTGATCTGAAAAATAAAAAACCAATGTTAGCGCAACTCAACCAATTCGGTATTAGAGATTTCTTTATTATATCTTCAGGCAAAGAATTGTTGAAACTCGAAATCAAGCATTGTTTTCAACTATAGGCGTAGTTATTTTATTGAAATAGAACCCAAATCTTTAAGCTTAAGACGCGGGTTGGAATGGGAACCACACCTTCGGTTGAGAGGTGAGCTTAGTTTCTTTTCACTTTAATGTCGAAAGAGAAAAGAAAAAGAAACGATGATGAAACTAGTTGAGTTTTTTTGCGCCAGTTTTAATGGGTCCTACTTTAACACTTAAGGGTTGGTTTTGGAATTTTTAAAGATTCAGAACATCTGTACTTACCAAATTGTCTTTCCAACCCCTCTATCCCCTAGCATTAATATGGTTGCCATTTTGCCACTAATCATCATTTACCTCTTTAATTACTTCGTTAATTCGAATATAAATTTCCTACCATAACTTTCATAATGCATTATAAAATAAATGAATTTAGAGACATATTTTATGTTTACATTCATTCATTTTTCAATTTATCGTGAAATTACTTAAAAATGAAGTTTAACTTTATTATATTTGAATTACGTAGTACATTATATCTGGTCTTAATTTTTTGTGGGTAAATTTTAAAACATTAATGAGCGATTGGAACAAACTCACATTAATATTATTTAGTAATGCTATGACACTTACCTCACTCTACCGATATAAGTGTTGCTGGATCGAGAGATACTTTCTGCATCCATAGAGATAAGATACTCCGTGCACGTAGTTCTCCGTGTTCTTTTTGCAGCAAGAAGGAACTTTCCATTTTCAACTAGCAATGCTACACCCACAAGGAGAGCCAACACTTAGGCGAAATGATAGAGAAAATACTGATATTACTAAGTAAAAAAACTTGAATCGCAATTTGCTTACCGGGACTAAGACACAAGTAAAGATGGTATGTCAAATTAGTCTTGTCGCGCCTGATGAAGCATTGCATCATTCCATCCCTAGGCCCTGGCTGGTAATGAAAACAGCCAAATTTTCAAAAACTCCTTCACACATAAATAAAGAATGAATAAATACACCTGATATAATGCATGTTTGGTAGCCTTGTTTTTTCTAAGGTTCAGCCAAATAGTCTACTAAATATCAAAATACTTGATGAAAATACTTCCCATGGAATCAAAACCCCCTAACAATGCACACAGAATCAGAGGAAACAGACCAGACACAAGATTTATGAACACACTCTAAGAGGAAAAGAAATTATGTTACCTGTTTGAGTGAAAGGGGGAAAGTGAGCTTCCCACACAGTTCCGGAACTCTTACGATTTCCTTGCAAATGCCCCTCCAAGACCTGCAGACGGCAGCACAAGCCACGACATGCTTGCGGGCGGGCCACGCGCTCTCGCTCTCCTCCAAGCGCGTGATCACATCAAAAAGAAGCTCTGGGGGTAGATTAGCCCAACAACTGTTTTGGGCCACCTCGAGCTGGTTGTGGTGGCCCAGCAGGAGATCCACTGAACTGTTGGATCTCCCATTGTTATGTATGGGCAGCCTTGCATCAAAGGTGCGCATAGATAAGCTCCCAAAGCTTCCTCTAACATCGCGAACTATGCTTCGGAACGACATCCGATCTGAATAAAGAAAATCATATCACTTCATACCTTTTAAAGATTCCTTCATTCAATTGCAATCCAAAAAGATATAACCCACTAGAACTATATGAAGAATAGTGATAAAGAAGTTTGTAACAAAATCAAATTAAAAGGCAAATCTTTGAGAGCTATGAACAAAGCTAAGAAAAATTGCAAAAAGCCACTTATTTCAAAATTTGATGCCAAAGTCTAACAGCTAAATGCATAAGGTGCTAAAGATTTTGCCACTGCAACTAAGCCACTAAGGGCTCGTTTGGAAGGGGATTATACTGCCAAAATGGTTGTTAATACTGATTTTTTTGGGAAGTTAAAGTGTTTGGTAACATCTATTTCAACCACATATGTGAATAGCTACTTACTTTTTTGAAAATAAAACTAATCCCACTAAAGGTAATACAAAGACAACCAACATAGGACACGCCCAGGTTGGAAAAGACAGGATTTTTTTTCCCTTTTTCACCTTCTGGATGGAAACCAAAGACTGAAATTAAAAAGGCTAGAGCTAAGAGATTGAGATACTATATATACAAGATCAAAACTTTTTCTTTATGAAATTAAAAAAAAAGTATTGTTCAAGAAACAGATCTGTACCTTATATCAAGAAACTTGGCGAGGATTGATTGGGAGAGGCGAAGTGAATCGGAGGAAAAAGTTGACAGATTTTACAGGTTAGGGAGGAAAAGCAAGAAGTGGGTCAGAGCCAAGAAATAATATCTGGAAAAGTGGAAGGGGGAACTCTTGGAAGATCAACCTCAAAATCAATGGAAAGAAACAAAAAAGAGAGATGGGATGAAAATAATGAAGATGTGGACGATGGAAAATGGGAAGTGGAATAAAATAAAAAGAAATGAAGGAAAAGAGGAAAGGTCGTCGGCATACTTTATGACCAACCACCATGTGTCCTCAACCTCACCAGTTATCTTGCGAATCGAATCTAAATCTCGTTTTCAAAGGATGTCCAATTCAACTCCAAATAAGTTTAAAATAGAGTCATATGTTTTAAGATCAAAATAGCAATATAATCACAGTGTGATGTAAGAATATGCATTAGTAGTGTGACCGTAAAGTGATCACAATATGATATGTCAATATGATCAGTCATTATCGGTGATTCGCAGCGCCACTATAGTTGCCGACGGTGACGGATGGTAGTGTGGCATTGATAATCCAATAGTTACATTGTGACAAAGTGATGAGTGTTGCAGTGAAACAATGACAATGTGAACTCTTATTTTGGTCTTAAAAGATTTGTGACTCGTATTTTAGTATTTTTTATAATTTTTTACTCTTATCTAGAGTCTTATATTAAATATATAATGCCTGTTTGGAGACAGCGTTAGCGATTAACATTATAGTTTTGAAAAAGCTATCTACAGACAGCGTTTAGCGGTAGCGTTTTCAAAGTGATCTGCACCGTTAAAATTTTATCCAAAACGCTAATGCTAATCTCTAACGCTATTCTCAAACAAGCCCATAGTCTTTATGAGTATCAGGTGTGCATGGTCTATTTTTTGTTACAAATCCATTATTAAATTTTAATTTATCTTTTCTTGAGTAATTAATTGTTTACCCGATTCTAAGGGATTAAATATATAGTCTTGCATTTTTTACTATTACGTAGTGATTAATACATAATTTAATTTTAAATACGTGGAATATACCTAAGAGGTTTGATATATCAAAACAAATCTTAAAATAAAATCAATTGTGTTAAATATATTGCAACAAAATATACGAACTAATTTTATTATAATTTTTGTCAAAAATTATACTACGGTAATATTTTATTATAAAAAAATAAAAGTCAAATTATAAAGAAAATTATAATATTTTATTATAAAAAAATAAAAGTCAAATTATAAAGAATTTTTTGGGCCGGTTATCCTGAAATGGTTATTGATAGTCGAACAAAGCGTGTGGTTTCGGAGAGATGTTTTGAGTTTTGACTTTAGTTTTGAGCATTCTTTTCGATCTATAATTTGGAGAAAGAAAATGTTGCATTATTTACGCATATAATGCGGTCAAACAGGGTGTTCTAGTGAATTGGGCAATTTTGTGTGATCTCAATTTGGGATGTGGGGAGAATTTTTTGGACAATGAAAAAACTTTTGTGATGAATATGGCAAATATAAGATTCACCTTAGATAGTTATGTATTTGTATGTTACAATCACCAAATCACTACCTCGTAGCATATGGTCAAACAAATAAATATAGACCAAATTCCTTAAATAATTCTTAATAATAATAAGTTTTCGATATATAATTTTTTAATTCTATGATTTTATACTCGTGATCCTTCATATTTGAAATCCTGTCATAAATAATCTGTCTTTTAGTCTAAATATTGTTTTTCACTTAAAGTTCGCAATGGGCTTATTTGAAATGGTTTTCAAATATCGACAACTACTAATATACTCCGTAATATTTTAGAGTTGAAGGCTATATATGAAAAAGTCATACTTCTTTCGTCCTAAAATTAATTTCTAAAGTTTGACTTTCGTGGTCATACTTTTTTTTATATCTTTGATCGCATATTATAGAAAAGAATACATTGAACTTTTATAAAAATTTAATATTAATAGATTTATTTTGAAACACAATTTTCAAATATTTTATTTTTATAATATATATTTATATACAAATAAAGATAATGGTTAAAGTATTACATTAGATACCGTTAAAAATGAAATGAGAAGTTAATTTTAGGACAGATGAAGTATCATCTATACACACACATTGCAGAATTTAATGAATGAAATACTCCGTAGGTAACTTCAATGTTATACGAATTATTCGATAATACATATACCCAATAAAAATGAAACTCCCACCCAAAGTGTCTCCACATCTTCACTCGATAGTATAATGAGAAGATAAATCACGATACAATCGCATCTCGTTTTTAAGAGCGATCATCTTGTGTCTTTTGTGAACTAAGGAACCACCACATTTGAAGAAATTTCTACATTGCCACTATCAACATTTGGTCTTGATCTTGAAATGAGGAAAACTAAATATATTTAAGTACAACCATGCTTTTTTTTCAAATATAAAGTGTGATAATTCCACATTGATTTGAAAACTATACTTTGGTGGTATCTTGAGTATGGGAATTAATGGGTTGTTGACTACCAACTTTGACTTTTTTATCTTCCCCCCACAATATTGTGTACAATCCTGCAATGATCAAACCTGCTCCAAGCAATCTGTGGCATTTGATTTTTTTACTCAATTTGTTCAAATGTTATTCTCTATAAATAAATTCCGGAGTAAAAATAGAAAATTGTAATGCAAATTTAATCTCATTAGATTAATTAAAACTTAAATTTAAAATAACACTCGATCCATTCCAAAATTTCTTTATCATTTAGATTTTATGAAATTTGAACGAAAAGTATTTTTGTTTTGATTTTTCAAAATAATTCTGGATGTAATAGATAAATTAGTAATGGATAAATAAAATGTCATAAATAAAATAAGAATTAATTAAGATTTGTATTAGTAATGGATAAATATTTTGTATTTAATTGGTGCAGAGATGCACAAGCATTTTAAAAATTTCATAGACACAAAATGTTAGTTCAAATTAAAATATTTTTACTGATATTTTGCGTCATTGTAAACCATCACACTAATATTACACTAGCACAAAATGTTGGTACATGCTTTTGTGAGGCAAAGGCCTTGTTTGGGAACAACGTTTTTTTATAAGCGCTAACGTTTTAGATTAAATTTTAATGGTGTAGATTAATTCTGAAGACGTTAACTCTAATTAAAGAATATCGTCAGATGACTTTTTTAAAACACTAACGCTAACATCTAACGCTAATGTCAAAGAGAACCAAAGTGGGATATACGTTTTATTTGGGGGTAGAAATAGCATATTGCTGGGTATATAATACTCCCTCCGTTCCAAATTATTTGTCACATTTGCTTTTTCAACAGTCGCGGGAACTTTTGTTTATTTCTACGTTTTCATTGGTTATTTGATAAAATAAAATATTCTTGACACCTCTTATTTCGAAGAACTTTTCATGTAGTTTTTTGATATGTACTTTTTAGTTTTTATTTCTTTACCAATATGTAAATAAAATGAATTGAAAAAACTTGATATTTTGTCTCAGTAATAGAAATGTGACAAATAATCTAGGACGGAGGGAGTACATACGTTCCCAAGTAGATGTTTTCGTCCAAGAAAAGGAAGGCAGCAAGAGCCATCATGAGGAGCCACAAAGGGGTGAATGCTGCCACGTAGACTGGCCCTCTTGCGTGGACGCACCACGTACTCACTCCATATACCACTCCACCACCCAATATCCCCTGCATATATATATATATATATATATATACCCCCAACAAATCAATAAATTTCAAAAAAAAAAAAAAACTCAAAATTTTTTATTATTCTCTCCGTTTGAAAAGTATAATTTTGGTTGATTTTCCAATTTTACTTCTGATGTGATGAGTAAAAGAAAAATGTGATAGTTTGGTTATTAGAGAATAAGTATGATGTGATAGGTAAGGTATGAAAAAGTAAGTGTAAAATTAGTTTTTTTTAATAGAAAGTGAAAAAATTTTAGCGAATTCAAAAAAAAAAGGTTTTATGGAAGGGGAGGACATTTGAAATGAAAAAATGGAAAAAGATGCATGGAATGTGAGAAGGTTTGGAAGGCATATGCATGCAGTAAAAGTGGAAGCGAGGAGTCTAACGTTCCAACCCAACTTCCATTGGTTCCAGTCCCTCTCCCGATAGAGTCCGTAGCCCAAACACTGAATTGATCCCATCCCTATCATTAGCGCCGTGAATGAATATGGGCATGGGTACCCCTTTTTCGCCATTGCCTTTTCATAGAGATCAGTTTTTGTTATTGAACTGGTCAAAAATAAATATGTCTACATTCATTTATTCCTTCCGTCCCGTGAAACATGAGACTTTTGCTTTTTGAGATTGATTTAAGGGTAGTGTATTTTGGTATTGAATTTCCAAAAATGTCCTTTGATGTGATGAGTAAAAGTATGATTTGATGGATAGATTATTAGTAAAAAGGTATGATGTGATAGTTAGGGTATGAAAAAGTAAGGGGTAAAAGTGACTTTTTAATAGAAATGAGAAGTGTTTTGTTGGACGGATGAAAAAAGAAAGGAGAAAGGTTTTATGGGACGGAGGGAGTATTCTTTACTATGTAACAAGAAGTCATGTATATAATGCATGGATTCCACTTACAAAAAGGATAATAGCTAGCTAGATACCTGAAGAATGAGCATGAAGGAATACAAAAGAACTGCAAGCACGGCCAGAACACAGCCCAACAATGGCTTGCTACTTTGTGCCGCCGCCACCGCGTGCGGAGGAGGGGTATGGCGGCGGAGAAGGTGAATGGGAGGTTTCCATAGGGTGAACTTTGGGCCGTGGTAAAAAGTGAGGAGCATTGCCCCGCCGATGCATAATATGGTCCCCAATACCTTTGCTCTCCCCGCCGCTGTCTTCAACCCCAACTCTTCCACCCTTCATTCCCATTCATATATGCATATAAGCATATTTGACAATAGAAGAAAATCTTGACATTTTTCCCACACACACACACACACACACACACACACACACACACACACACACATATATATATATCGGGTCCGATTCGACGACCACTCAATTTGAGTGACCATAGATAGAAGACACTGAACATCTACATTACCGGCAAAGTTAGCAAGTATGAACTATCAATTTGCAAGCGGAGTATATATATCGTAGATATCTCATTTAGGACAATGTCCTCCGTGACAACTCAAAGAGAGTGACCATGAAACCGAATTGGTATATATAAGCACATTCATTTTTAATAAATTTATTAAATAAAACTATATAACTTGTTCAAAAAATTCACTTTAAGAATTTTGATCAAGATATAATTTGTGAAGACAAGGTTCAAAAGGGACACACACTATCATACAAATGTAGCATGTAGGTGGACAATTAGGGCCATGAACTTATCAATTAAATAAGGACGGATGAAATACTTTAGAAACATTGATCCAGTAATTGTAATGGTAATAAATAATTACCTGAGTGTGACAGCAATGATGAAGGTAAAAGCTGGAGCGAAGTTAAAAATAGCTGTGACATAGGTTGCCGAAGTGTACACCAAGCTCTCGAAGTACAAATTCTGCCCTAATGGTCCTCTGCATGTGTTAAGTATGAAGTCAGAATACAATGCTTCTTCATTCATCATAACGTATATAAATAGTAACAACTAAGAGGGACTAAGTTTAGATCCCAAATCATAGCCTAAAGTCTAGGAGCTATACATGGTATACAATAAATACACGTGAGATAAGGAAAGCAAATCAAGGATAATCAAGAATAAATATAAATGAATATTTATATTTATTTATCTATAATACGCCCCCGCAAGATTGGGGATCCGTCAGAAACACCAATCTTGGACCGGAACTTTAGAAAAAGTGGGCGAGCAAGAGGCTTGGTAAGAATATCTGCGAGCTGGTCAGATGAACGGACATGGGCAACCCGAAGCTTACCAGCCGCAACTAATTCCCGAACAAAGAAATAATCCAACGCAAGATGTTTCATCCGTGTATGGAACACTGGATTTTTGCACACATGAAGAGCACTAACATTATCACAGTAAAGCATTGGTGGTGCTGGAACCGATATATGCAATTCTTGGAGAAGATTTTGTACCCAT